TCCCAGCCTCCAGAACCGCGAGAAATCAATTCCTATTGTTTTAGCCACCCCATCTATGATATTTTGTTATGGCAGCCTAAGCAGTAGGTTTAGGAGATGATGGGATTTTTTTTTTATGGCTAATTGAGACCCGAGCACTCCATGAAGTGGAGAAGGAGCTAAGAGAGAAAGAGAGACATGGAGCAAGAAAGGGAGGGAAACGGAAGAGGCAAGGGTAAGACCCTAGAAGAACAAAGGCAGAATCTTAGAAGGCAGGGATGATACGTCTTCTAACAAGAAAGAAGAGAGGAGACAGGGAGACGCATAGACATCCTGAGTTATGAACCTGATGACGTAACAGCTGTTTCATGGCAGAGAGGAAGGAATTCAGGAGAGCTGGCCATATTCCCACTAAAGCAGGTCTGGTGAGGAGAGAGGCTGGAAGAGGGGCAGGGAAAGCGGATGAGACTGCACCGTAGGAGACGCCAACAGGGAGGGAAGCAACGGCCCTGGGACCTCAGCTCCTGGTCAAGGGGTAAGTCCTCGGCCAGCCCCTGCTCCGCTTCCCCGTCACTCTGCTCCAGGTCCAGCCTGGGCGGGGCTGCAACGGCAGGTTCTCAGCAACCCGCCCCCTAGAACAGGCTGGGATTTTCTCTACCTTCTGTGCTGGGAGTCAGAGGCAGTGGGATGCAAAAACTTGTCTGCCCTTGTACTTGTGAGATCAGTGCTGCTGACTGGTAAGATCCATGTACAATGCTGCACAAAGACTTACTAACAACATGTGCTTCTACTAGAAACCAGACCCCTAATGACAGGGCACCCCAAAAATGCTGTGAAGCAGAAGATAAGTGACCCCATGGGGCTGCAGGGAGGCAGAGACAGGAAGACGGGCACTGGGCTGCAGAGGCCACGTGGGCCACCTGCCAGCGCCCGAGGGTGCAACTTCCCTCTCCCCATAGGCAGGCCTGTCGTGAGCCCCAGTCTGAGGCCTGGTCACAGTGGGTGCTCAATGTGTCCATCAGAAATATCAGTGGAGGGCCGGCTCCGTGGCTTAGTGGTTAAGTGTGCGCGCTCTGATGCTGGCGGCCCGGGTTCAGATCCCGGGCGTGCCCCAAGGCACCACTTCTCCGTCCAACGCGAGGCCGAGTCCCACATACAGCAACTAGAAGGATGTGAACCTATGACATACAACTATCTACTGGGGCTTTGGGGGGAAAGAACTGAATAAATAAAATCTTTAAAAAAAAAAAAAAAAAAAAGCTAGACTGGAAGAGAAATCCCAGAGGTGGGTTGTCCACTGATATTTTTTTTTTTTTTTTTTAAAGATTTTATTTATTCAGTTCTTTCCCCCCAAAGCCCCAGTAGATAGTTGTATGTCATAGGTTCACATCCTTCTAGTTGCTGTATGTGGGACTCGGCCTCGCGTTGGACGGAGAAGTGGTGCCTTGGGGCACGCCCGGGATCTGAACCCGGGCCGCCAGCATCAGAGCGCGCACACTTAACCACTAAGCCACGGAGCCGGCCCTCTTCCAGTCTAGCTTAAATGACACTACTGCATTGATTTCCCCTTAATCAAAATTTTCAAAAGGCTCCAAAAGTCCAAAGGGTCAAATCCAAAAACCTCAGTATGGCGTTCAAGGCACTCTACGGTGTGGCCTCACCAGCCTTATTGCCCACTCTGCCTTATAGTACACCATGCACATCCTACTCTGGCCTTTGCCCTGGAATGTCCCAAACCCCCTGTCTAACCCCATTCATTCTCTAAGGCCCTGCTCCATAGCCACCTCCTCCAGGAAGCCTTCCTGGCAAACAGCTCCAAGCGAGTCTCCTCTGAACTCAGACCGTTGCGTTGTGTGGCCCTTCATTACATGCTGCCTTGTGAAGGAGCCTGTGCTGCTCTTCTACAGCCTTGTTCCACCGTGCTTTAGTGCATCAGAGTGTCAGAGGGCTTGACAGGGCCAGAGGCAGACAGATCAAGGCCAGCAGGCAGTGTCTGACAGGCTGCTTCTAGGAATGAGTCCCAAGGCTTAGCCCAAAAAGGTCAGTGATCAAGGAAGCAGTCGGCACAAAACCTTGTGCCAGGGAGAGACTGCAAACCCGAAAGCAAGGAAGCAGGAGGGGGGAGCTGGGAAAGCAGACAGGTCCAAGCTGAAGACAGACCAGAACAGATGGCAGGGGAGCGCACGCCAGGGAGTCAGCAGACGAGGAGCAGCAGGACGGGCCACGTGCAGGGCTGGGCTGCAGAGGACGTTCGCTGGCCGGAGGTAGGTTCCCCAGGAGTCTCACATTCTTCTGCTGGCGTGTGGCTGGCTGGCCACTGCTTGCCTGGGCACAGAGCCTCTCCAGATCAGCTCTCTGATCCTCGACTGAGGGCTCCTTGAAGTCAGGCACCACGTATGTCCTTCCATCCCCACACTGCCAGGGCCGTAAGAGATTGTGCCAAATGGACGCGTCTCCGAGAACTCTCCATTCTCTTCCTCCTCCGCTGTGGTCACCCACTTTCTGGCTGTCTGGGCCACACCTAACAACCGTGGCTTCTACGTCCGTAATATTTACATGTTGACAACTGGAGAATCCGAAAGGAGAGTTCCCTTCTCTGCTTTCTGCAGGCAGACAGAAAACCATCAATTTAATTTTTTTGTGTCCTGCCAACATTCTCCAGAAGGGTGTCCTCCAGCCTTAGCGGGGTGTCCAAAACTTCCGTTGAATCTTGAAGAGCTCATGATTTCTCCTTATGAGACTGCTGTTGTGTTCCTACGCACCCATCCCCCAAAGGGTCCTCAGAAGCGTCTCCCAGAGCTCAGGGAGGGCACACACTGCCACCCTCACACTGGCTATGTGTTGTATGTAGACCGTCCTTTGATTTATTAGTTCTTTAATTTATTAGTTTCAGGTGACCCCACGGCCTTAGCATCGACCACCAGGAATACCTGCATCATGCTGGACCCCACATCCAGAAAGGGCAACTCAACTCCCTACCTCGAAGAGGAAAAGATTCTGCTCCACTGACCACACGTGCTTGGAGAGATGTCTCCCCGTGGAGAGGCCTCCTGACCGAGCAGAGTGGCCGAGTGAGGCCCAGCACCCGGCTCCACCCTTGGGACAAGTGTCAGTCTGCTGAGCCCTCGTACGAAATGGCACTTATTTGACCAACACTTTTTAGCTCCTCAAGACATCGCAGAGTCTGCTCTTCAGTTATTTCGCAGTGTAAGTCTCGTCTTGTCCACTCAAGGGCAGCACTGGACCACCCTTCTGGTTTCTTACTTCCCACAGAGCTCAGGGCAGAGCATTGGTGGTGAGTTGGGGCTCAAGAAATAGAATCCTATGCATTTAAATCTACCCTATCTTTTTTCCAAAAGAGATTTGAGGCAGCTTAAAAAGCGCATGATATAAGCCAATAAAAATAGATGAAAATATCCCCCTGAAGGGCAAACAAGGAAGGAAGAAAGAGAAAATGAAGCCGGGGTCAAGGGTGTGTACAGAAATGGGCAGTTCTGCAAAACTGCTGAAGGTGGTTACAAATTCAGCTCTGGGTTTTCTAGGAACTAAAGCAAAGAAAGAAACGTGGTCTGTAATGAAATTCAAAGTATACAAAAGAAGAAAGAAAAAACCAGAAAACGAAAATATACGACCTGCTCCAGAGAAGCTCAGCCTTTGCTGGCGCTATAGGATCATTTCCTGAGCATAAATTCCTACAAGTGGGATTTCTAAATGAAAGGTTTTGTAGATTTTTAAGGCCTCTGATGTATATTGCCAATTGCTCTCCTGAAAGGTTGTCCTGATTTACATTCCTACCAGCAGTCTGCTCTCTTCCCTATGCGGGAGATTATCTTTTTTTTTTGGTGGGGGGCGGAGTTCTTTTTTATTAATAGGAGGCATGAGCCTCCAACATTCTCCAAGGATTAGTAGAACTAGACTGTTAATACTGGAAGTGTGGTCCCTGGCCCAGCAGCATGGGCATCACCTGGGGGCTTGCTAGAAACGCAGGATCTCAGCCCCACCCCAGACCCACGGAACCTGAACCTGCACTTTCACAAGATCCCCAGGCAATCCTTACGCACATTTGAAATGGAGAAGCACCAATTTCAAATTAAATCTTAATTTTTTGAAACTTTAGCCCCAAACAAAGCCAAATGCTTTCTCTAAATGGTGAAGAAAAAAGATTAAAGCACCTGATGAGTTCCCCTGTAAGCTGTGGAATTTGTGGGTAAATCTTGATTTGTGTTTTTTTACTCCCTATGACACGGGAGCACTGAGAACTCGAATATTAGCTGTATCTGCCTAGGGCTGACCAGGATCCAGTACGACTGACACAAGGGGAATGAGTTTAACTCTCAACAGACCAATTAAGTACTTCACCACGAAAACATCTGGCTGGTAGAAGGCTGGGAAGGAGGTATTCACATAATAAAGAATAAAACACAGTTTGTCCCACTATTAATCATTATTTCTGAAAAACACCATGATTAGTACTTCAAGTCTTAGTTTTCCACATTCTCTGGAAATCAATTTTCTCACCTAAAAGGTCACACCCACTCAGCCCTCACTATTATGCATCAGGAACCACGAGAAGCACTTTATATACATTATCCTGTTAATGCTCCCAGCAATTCTTTGTGGCAGAGATTTCTCATGCCCATTTTGTAGATGAGGAAACTGAGGCTCAGAGTCTGAAGGAACCAAAGATCACTCTCCGGTCTGTTTGATAGTTAACGCTTTGGGATGCAGTTTAGGCCAAGTCATTTGAGAATGTGTGCTCAGCAGCCCAACTGCAGCAGAAGCCACTAGGCCGGGTGGTAAGAACTAGCTGTGTCACCTGGACATGTACTTTTTCAAAAAAACAGCTTTAATGAGGTATAATTTACATACCAAAACATTCACCGCATGTAATTTTTAAGATGGTGAAGAACGTGAACATCCATGGAAATAAAGACGTTCTTTGCCCTCTAAAAGGAAAGCCAAAGATGCAGTGAGCACAGAGAGCAGGTTTCCAGGGACCCCACGGAGCCAGGAAAGCCTACCTTGGATTCCATAGAGTCGGTTGAGGCGCGACCGCCGGGCCTCGTCAGTGTAGGGGACAGCGAGCCAGGGCATCTCACTGAAGTACTGTTTGAATGAGTCCTCTGACCTAGAGACACACAGGGAAACATGGCTCCATTATCATCCCCGACCACCCCACCACTGGATCCTGCCCACCTTCTACCAAGTTATGCCCAGGGCCCTACAGATGCTGGGGCTGCTAACCATCATGCTCCTCAGGCACCAGGCTGACTACACGGGAGGGGCTACGCTGCCCCTCCTGGCACACACCAAGAAGCACAGGCCTCCACACGACAGGTGGGTACCAAAGGAAGATGCCAGGCCTTTTCAACAGCCTGCTCCCCTGCGTCCCACCAGTCCAACTCATGCTCAACTTGTCATTTTCAACACAGACAGGTCTTGCTTTTATAAGGAGCCTAGATGTACACAGACACTGCATTTCCCGTGATGCTTCTAATTTGTGCACATAAAGTGACGTGTACAGGACCACACTGTTAACCAAGCATAAACCTATGATTCCACATATAAGAAACTCTAGGAATGACAAATCCAATCAAGTGATGGCAGGCAGATCAGGGCTTCCCTGGGGCTGGGGTTTACGGGTGAGGACTGACTGAGAAGAGGCAAGACAGAGTCTTCTGAGTGATGGAAATGTTCTATATCTTAACTGTGATGGTTACACGGGTACATACATTGGTCAAAATTCATTGAACTGTACACCTCAAATGTATGCATTTTGTTGTATGTAAATTATACTACAACAAAGTTGCTGTTTTTTAAAGCTTTAAAAAAGGGATCACTCCACATGGCATGCCTTCAAGCTTGCTCCCACTCACATGCAGAGACAGGGAGCTGAGGAACAGCAGGGTGGGACCATGGGCCAATAAACCGAGCACGGCACAGTGCAGATGTCAAGGATGCACAGTGAACAAAATGCCCTCAGTGTGTTGGCATCTCAGGGATCCTTCTGTGAACAGGAACTTGAGAGGCAAAAGCGCCTGGTGGCTCAGTCTGAATTGGGGCTGGAGTTTTGTGATGGAGGAAGGTCACTGATGAGTAGAGCCAGCGAGAGGGCAAAAAGCAGAAGAAATTGAGGCTAAAAGGACCTGATGTCTCCAGGAAGGATGTCTGCCCTCCTTGTTTTTATGATAGCCTCCAGACAAAGCATGTGGTCAAAGCTATGAAAGATGATTGCATAGCCATCCAAGATAGGTGTCACCTTCCATTAGTCTCTGGCTCTTTTCTTTCCATCCTTCCCCCTCTGAATCCTTTCACCACAATCCAAAAAGCTAAACACATCAGACAAATGCATCCTAATCTCAAATGACCTAGGCGGGAATTGGGACATACCCCAGTATTTACAGCAAGAACAGGTTTCCCTAGGCTCCTCTTCAGACAATTATGTGAGTAAATATGAAATGTATCTGTCCCTCTGCCAATAATCCCAGAGGTGTCTTCCCCAATCCCTATCTCCAAGCTCTAAAGAAGCAAGAAGCAAGAGAAGTGCATGTCAACCACCTACAGAAAAGGGAAGATCCACTGCCACTCTCCCCGGCACACGTTACCTGTCTGCACTAACAAAGATGATCTCAAATGTCTGGCCTGCCTCCTTGATCTTCCGGTAGGATTCCACCAGGACCCGGGTGAGGCTTCGGCAGGGTGGACACTGAAAAGACAACAGTGGAACCCTGCAGCGTCACATTGTCCCTTCTCCTTCCCATTCCCCGGCCACCTGTCATCAGAGGCCAGGTAGGCAAGACCCAAGTAGGACTGGGACCGCAAAACCCAGTTAATAAAAGAGGCAGAAGCAAACGTGCCTCTTGTAATAGTGAGCACCCAGCCCAGGCTCTTCCCCACCCACACCGCGGGCCAGCAGGCAGCAGTACAAACGAACCCCTGAGGGTCCATTAGAAACCTCATCAGAATGGGTTAGGGGAACTATCCTTTTAGAACAGTCAAAAGAAATCACTTTCTTGCTGCTATTATCACTCCTAACAATAAGCACTTATGGCCTGCCAAAATGCAGTAGGCACAGGAGAAAGCAAGAACCCGCAGAAGCCTACCACAGCTGTCTTGGTGGCGACCACACTGCTCCCTTCTGGGCTAGAGAGGGACAAACACTTACCCAGTGTGCAGAGAAATAGACTCCCACGTGAGACCCCTCCAGGCTGCTGCTCTCCAGGGACTGCCCAGTATTTCTAAGCAAGGGCCCTGCAATGACTTCCCGGAAGGGTTTAGGTCCCCAAGGGAATTCCAAACCTGAAACAGGCAACAGACAGTGAGAATGTTAACACTCTTCACTGTGGCCTCTGACCCAAGACCCTCAGGAATGCAGGGCATGACAATTTCACCATCCAATAGTATTTGTTAACGCATCCACGGGATCTGCAGCTAAAACCCAGGGATAAAAGCAGGACTCATCCACAGCCAAGCCCTACCTACCCTCCAGGCAATGGTCCCAAACTTGGATGATCACAGGGCCCATCTCTTGGGGGCTTTTGAAAAGTACAGAAGCCCAGGTCACACCCCGAGTCCTGGGATCCAGGGGCTGAAGATGTATGTCCAAAACAAAGCAAAACAGACCCCTAGGTAACTCTGATGATGGGCCAGGGTGGGGAGTCATTGCTCAGGTATTAACCATGAGTTTCTTCAACTCCAACCCTGGAATCTCCGTAGCTCTCAATTCCAGCTGCATTGCAGAATCAACTGAGGAATTTTAAAATACGATGCTCCTGGGGCCCACTCCTAGAGATTTTGGTTCAGAAGGTCTGGGTTGGGGCCCAGGGAACCAAGTGGGATGAGAATTTAAGTCTAGTGAAAAGAAAGAGTAAAATCCATTCAACCCAGATGGTCTACATTCCGATGACACTTAAGCCCCAGGCAGGAAGAGCAAATCATATGCTCCCAGCTCGACAGAGCAGTGTTTTCTCACAGGGTGGTCCGTGGACCACTGCCTCAAAACCACCAGGGGTGGGTGGGGGATGGGAGAAGCAGAGACTGCAGTGGCCAAGCCCACCCTGAAACAAATGAATCCGAAAACCTCTAGGGGTGGGGCCGGGGAATCTGCATTTTTAACAAGCTTCAGAGTAGGGTGTGTGCGTGTGTGTGCGCGCGCATATAGATGTGAAAAGGTAAAAACTTGTTTCTACCACGCCCTGGTTTTTACTGAGGGCAATTCTTTGAAGCAGGTGAAATTTTTACTGGGAAAATTTGTGACCAGGGTTGACTCCTATAATTGGACCAATAAGTGAGGGAGGGAAGATCTCACCACAACCCTTTTTAAATTCAGTGCAAGGGGGAAAGAAACAGACCGTGGACAGCCACTGTGATCAGAGCAGAGGTGCCTACCCAATGCATGGCCCTCCACTCAGCTGGTCAGCAAGACCAACGCCAGCAGGACGTGGGCAGCACCAAGAAATGAGGGGCACTCACCGCTGAGGCCAGGAGAGCAACCCAGAAACTGTGACTTTGCTACAATATTATTTTAAAAAGAAAAAAAACAAAAACCACTTATCCTGCCTCTAATTGTCAAGGTGACAGCTGCGGTTGAAACAACACTAGAAGTCAGCATCCGGGCTCTTGCTGCTTCTCAGAGGCCTCCTCAGCCCTCAAAGCTGAACTTCCTTTTCCAGATTCCATCTTCTTTGGCCCATGAATTAAAGCCCCCAGGAGAGACATTCTAATCCCTTTAAAAATCTTAGCAATGACCTAGAGAATAATATAATTTCATCAAGACAGTATTCTCTAGCCAAATAAACCCACGTATGTGTAGTTCATTTGACGCTATCTACCCAGGGGAGGAGGTCAGGGCGGGGGACGGAGCACCAGTACGGGACGGACATGCCGGGGTCTCACCTTCTGGGTCATCCCGGATCACCAGCAGCCCATTCCTGCACACGACCTTCCCGGTGGTGGCGTCTAGGAATATTAGTGATGGAATGTTGGAAATTCGATATTTGTTCCAAAGTTTAAGCTATAAGAAGAAAAGTAAAAGAAGATGGTGAAGTCCAAACGGGATTAATTGCAGAGTTCTTTTGAGTCTCTGGGGCCCGAGGGGTAGATGAACTGGATCACACTCAAGTACACATAAGTGAATAACTGACCCAAAGCAGGACTGGCTGGGCAAAACGGACTAGTGAAGCTACAAGCCCAACTGCCCCTGCGGTCCACGACAGGGCGGGGAGCCCGAGTCTGAGTCACACCCAGGCTCAGGCCACGGCAGAGGCACTCCACTCCGTCAGCCTCTTATGATGGGTGTCTCCCCACCCCATCAGCAGGCCGGCGCTCCCCTGCTTCCCTGTCCTGCTGTGTCCCCTGAGCCCCAACGGAGAAGGGACGGGGTATCCAACAGAAGACCAAGCAGTTCAAATCTACCCCTCTGACCACTTCCCAGCTCCCTGCCCTTGGAACATCGGCAGTCGTTCTGAGTGCCATTCAGCCCGCAAACACTAGGCAAGCATTATCCTGAACCGGCCCCGACCCTCAGCTCTCTCTCGGTGCCACTCCAAACAATCCACAGGCTGTTGGCAGGTTCCTGAGGTTGCTGTGCCAACTGTCAGAGGGCCAGGGTCTAAGAGGGCCAAGGCTGAGAAAACGTGAATGCAACAGCCCAGGGTTAGGAGCCGAGGATGCGCAGGCTGCTCTGCTCAGGGCCGTCTGGGTGAACACTGCTCAGGTGGGCCACTGGGTGCTCTGGAACTCAACTGCCACGCCCAGAAATGACATAATAAAATGTCGAACTACCAAAGCATCACCAGAAAAGAAAGAAACAAGGGGAAACTGTAGGACGGCCACTAGATGGGCCTGCCCGGTGGCACAAGTGGTTAAGTGCACACCCTCCGCTACGGCGGCCCGGAGTTCGCAGGTTCGGATCCTGGGCACGCACCGACGCATTGCTTGGCAAGCCATGCCGTGGCAGCGTCTCATATAAAGTG